ACCATTTGGGTATCCGATACGCATTAGATTCAAATGCGACCCAACATCCAGGTCGCATTCATCTGACTTGAACGTCACCGACACTCGACAAATCTCACTATTCTGCGTCCTGATACTCGCAAGCGGGAAGAAAAATCAAACAACCGTGACAGACTATAGTGAGGATTAAGTTGTTGATATGCTTTCTCCAGTCGGATAACAACTTCAAATCAGTGGCGCAACTACACATTATTCAGGTGGATGCGAAAACATAAATTGGCGACCCCCCCGTCCCCCAGGGAAGGAACGTCAGGGTGAAGGAGCGACGCTCACCATCAACCCCCACCGAGGCGACGCTGCGTGAAGTGTAAAACTCGCTACATTTACCTCATTATGTGCGAGAGGTGAAGGAGCGTGAGGCGCACTGAAGTCTATGGGAAAACATAATCGGTGCGTCGTCCCCTCCAGACGGGGTTTTGGCGCCCCCTCTGGTGCTGCGCCCCTATGCGTTGCATACGCTGCATACCCACTTTTTGCGCCTCTGCTTCAAATATATAAGCTATGCTCCACTTTTAACATTCATGTTTACTTCCGCAAACACCAAGCACTTCTTTTTATAGCAGTTGGCAGAACACTGACAATATTGCACCCTCTACTGTGCATGCGGGACACTTTCAGATCGTTTGCCTGTTCACGCGGAACACATGCAGGTCACATTTATTTGAAAGTGTAAACGGCTATAGTAAAAAAATCCAATTTGACAAAAAAAAATAAAAAAAAATTGGAATGGGGTCACTTCAAGATGTGTGAATGCATCTTGAAGTGTGAACACAGACAAAATTGGTCTTCAAATAAACAAAATGTTTAAAAAAAGGGTAGAGAGTATAAAGTCTGTAGCACAAAGATGAGCAATTACTTCTACTGTAAGTGACCATCATTATGCATTTGGAGTTTAAAGAACTAAAAACTGTTGTGAATATTACAGTGTAACAAAAAAGTTTAGTTTTTTTTGTGCCAAGATCAATCCAATTGATCAAACTACAAACTCAGTTCTAAAGTCACATAATCCAAAATATCAAAAACAATGTTTAATAAATGATAGTGATGTGTTTAGGTTAACATAAATTTACTCAACAGCTGATTTGACCTTTTTTGCCTTTGCAAACCAATCATGATGAACAGAATTTGACTTTGGTGGCATTTCTAAACACACCACAAATTCTCCATCAGACTGAGGTCTGGGCTTTGACTTGGCCACTCCACAACATCCAAGCTGTTGTTTTTCCAGTATTCTTTCTTTTCTTTGTGTAGCTTTAGCTGGAAGCTTCAGGTTGTTGTCTTGACTAAAAATGAATATTCTCTTAGGTCATAGATCTCTTGCAGAGGAGACAAAGCAATTTCTTCCTCCTTTTCGGATCATACGCTTCTTCAGCCCATGGTTGTGTAATGGCTCTGGAGACTCACTTTCTCTCCCTGTCGTTTCCAGCATCTTGTCAGATGGCCAAAAAGACCAAAGAACTTTCTAGACCATAGAGTCTCCCATATGCTTTTTGGCAAACTCTATTCAAGTCTTGACATGAGTTTTCTTCAACAGTGGATTCCTTCTCACCCTCTCAAAGTTTTGACCGGTAAAAATCTCAGTGAGCAGCTGCCTGCAGAGTCTCTCCCATCTCAGCTATTGAAGCTTGAAACTCCTTCAGCATAAGATGTCCTCTTTCACTGGTTTCCTTCTTGCACGGTTACTCAGTTTTGTGAGGACTTTAGGCTACATATTCCCTCCATTTCTTGATTAATTAAACTGAACTCTCAGGGATGTTCAGTGCCTTATATCCATCCTCTGACTTGTACTTTTCAATAACCTTTTCTCTGATTTGCTTGGAGTGTTCTTTTGTCTTCATGGTGAAATGGTATCCATGAATATTCAACAGATGAAGGGACATTCCAGACAATCACAAGACACTCACAGTACTCAGATAATCTATAGTCCACTCAATGTGAGATGACGAGCACCAGTTGACTGGATCTTTGTTGAGTTAGGTCAGGGGTCGGCAACCCGCAGCTCTAGAGCCGCATGCGGCTCATTAGTGATGCCCTAAAGGCTCTCAGGACCTTTTTCAAAAATGTTTGAAAATGGAAAGAAAGTGGGGGTTGGAGATGTATATTTTTTTTGTTTTAATATAGTTTCTGTAGGAGGACAAACCTGACACAATCATTAACATTTTCCAAAGCTATAAAAATGTGTAGAATAAATAGTAAATTTCAACATTTCTGTCAACAAAGATTTGCATCATAGCCTACGATACGTTTCTTTCAGCAGGGTTTGCGAGGCAGGGGGCTGTTGTAAACAAACTGACGGGTGTGTGGTGAGCCGTGGCTAGCAAAGGGGAAAAGAGGAAAATAGCTGAGGAGAGATCCTACAATTCTTGGACCGAATCATTTGCATTCATTGCCAATGCGGAAGGATTCCCTGAACGTTTGCTCTGTAGGGTGTGCAGACCAGCTAGTCCATGTGCTCATGGACATCTTCAATACATCACTGTATCAGGCCATTGTTCCCTCATGTTTTAAGTCAGCTATTATTATTCCAGTGCCCAAAAAAATAAACCATCACATGTCTTACTGACTTTCGACCCGTTGCATTAACATCTATCATGAAGTGCTTCTAGAGAGTGGTTAAGGGTCATAAAATATCTATGCTCCCTCCGTCATTTGACCCTTTCCAGTTTGCATACAAATCTAAGCACTTGACTGAGGATGCCATCTCCACTGCTCTTCATCTGAGCCTAGTACACCTGAGAGAAGAAACACCCACGTACAGATCCTTTTTTGGACTTCAGCTCAGCCTTCAATACGATCATCCCCCAGGACTTGGTATGCAAACTGGTCCCCCTAGGCTTCAATACGCCACTGTGCAACTGGCTGCTAGACTTCCTCACAGACAGAACTTAGTCTGTCCATGTGGGTAATAATACCTTCAATATCATTTCTTTAAACACTGGTTCCCCCAGGGCTGTGTCCTGAGTCCCCTACTGTTTACCCTGATGACCCACGACTGTCATCCCAGGTTTAACACCAACCACATCATGAAATATGCAAACGACAACAATTGTGGGCCTCATTCAGGACGACAATGAAGTGAACTACAGAAAAGAGGTACATCTTGTTGACTGGTGCATAACAAACAACCTGCTCCTGAACATCGACAAAACAAAAGAGATCAGACTTCAGGAGGTCTCGACCCAACCACACACCACTCCTCATCAACGACAAAGCAGTGGAGATCATCAGCAGCACTAAGTTCCTGGGGGTTCACATTACAGACAACCTCAGCTGGACAACTCGCATCACTTCACTGCCACCTATCCAGAGCATTGCACGCAGACCCTGCTTAGCCAGAGCAAACAAAATCCTCTCTGATTCCACCCATCCTCTCCATGGTCTGTTCATCCGCTTGCTGTCTGGGAAGACAGTTTACCGACTCGGTCCTCCCAGCCCGGTGCGTACATAGCCGCACCGGGCTATAAGCCACATGGTTCAAAGCGTGGGGAAAAGTAGCAGCAAATAAAACCCCAAACATGGTAGATTTTTGCAGTGGGAAACATACCAGAAAATATATTGGAAGTTTCCCCAACTCTGCCAAAACTGTTAGCTAAAAATGTGACTGTAATGTCCAATTCCAATCCCCAAGAGCAAATCTAATCCTCTGCAAGAGGTTGTATTTTCAGGACAGTAGTCATCTTGAAGTTGGCAAAACTGCCAACTTTTATGCACCATGCAAAACATGCACAGTACATAAAAAACATGCATAGTATAGGGGTTTAAAAGCCGCTGTTAACACACTAGGTGTGAATATAAAAGCTCTACTTCCACCAAACACCCTCCTCTCCTCTTACCCCCTGCTTGGGCTAAAGATGTCAGAGGAATAGGGTTACTCGGTGCCAGAATGCACCCCTCCTCCAATCACTCAGCTCCTTCCTGTTTGAAATGCTTTACACACACACACACACACACACACACAATTTATCTCTCCGGTTTTTTTTTAAATGCCTTTATTGTTTTTAAAATCACACCATAGTCTCATCTACAATTTTGTGTTTAAAATGCAACTCAGACTTTGATGGTTCCGTTCAGTCTTGCAGAAAGGCAATATGGATTGTGAAAGGAGCGATAATAATAACATTTTCCGTTAACAGCTAAAGCGAAACAACAACAAAAAAAAACTTAATCTTGGGTTCATGCGTGTTTTAGACCGATAACCAAACCAAATAACAGGAAGAATAGCATTTGCACATCGCTGAGGTCACTTCCTGAACCACATTTACTGAACCGCGCCTCTAACAGAGATGCTTGTTGTGCTTTTTCTTTTTTTAAAAAAACTTGTAGGTTAAACGCTTCACGCATTACATTGTAGGCGGCCTACAGACGTAACTACTAATATTGATGATTTCAAAGCTCATTTCTAAAATATGACGATCATATTGATCCAGATAGAAGTAGATATTTGATATTTCAGGAGGTTTGTGTGTGTGTGTGTTTTATTGTTTGTAAAGGAAGTGAAACCAAACGGGGCATGGAAGTGACTTTCACCGTTTTGCCTCAGTATAAATAGAAACAAGCACCCCATCGTAGGCGGGCTACAGATCTAACTACCAATATTGATGATTTCAAAGCTCATTTCGAAAATATAAAAACTTTCATATATATTCCCAACATGACGATATTTATAGTCATGTTGGGAATAGTGTGAAAACTGCACGTTATATTATACGTTAGGCCTCCATTTACTCGTTTTCTCCCGTTATGTTCGGGGGGAAAAACGAATTAGACAAGCCCAAATACTGTGATTTTTATCTAATGTCATTGTATTTTGATTCGGTGAAACAATGACTCGTTCCGAAAAGCGCGCTCTTGGCTTGGCAACGCCTGATAATACATTTTCACCGCAGCTAAGTGGCTCAGACTGACCGTATGACTCGCCAACGAAAGGTTGAAAGTTTAAGGTCTTGAACGAAGTCACCCACCTGGCAATAAAGGCTGCACTCCATGGTCGAACAAGCAATCGCGTTGTGGACAAACCTAAATATTCATGGCTCTCTTTCCAGAATAAGTTTGCAGGAAATCACCACTAGCGTCAACCTCTCCGGCAGAAAAGAATCTCCTTGCGGTCAACTCGCAGTATCCATCCAGATGACGCATGATTGTCCCCGCTCTAGTGTTTGTTTAACGGCCAGAGCCGAATTTAAGCGCTCTGACTTGTGACTCCTCCCACCACCCACGTACCTCTACGGAACCTCACTAGTGCCATAAAATTAAATTGCTTCGAGTAGACGGGGGTAGGAGCTATGGAGAGCCATTTCTATGAAGAGCCATTT